CTCTATTTTCTAATTGCATTATAAATCACCACTATGAATCCTTCACACTCATTATTACTGCAGGTATGCTGTGTATTGTGCATTATGTACTGTCTGTGGTATGTTCTCTAAGCCTGTATACGTGTGTAGTTACATTGCCTTCCATGTACAGGTGTACTATAGTAGTCGACTTATGTTATATAAGATTATATATAATCTCTGCACTCTCTATTATAAGATATATAAGCTGTAGCTAAACTGTGTTTCTGAGCCGTTATGTGTTACAGTAACAGTAGTATGATCGACTATATCTGTATTATGCTGTGTTCTCTGACAGTTATAAGTCGTATAATTGTATTACCGTAGATATAATCACTACTGATCAGTCATTAGTGTGTGGTTATTAACGTATTACAGTGCAGATATAAGTGTTAAATCAGTATTAAGATCAGTATTAGAGCTGTATAAATACCAGAAGAGTGTCCACACAGGCTGTATCAGTCATTAATGTGTTATGGAACTGTTTTACAGGATATATATAGTGTTTAAAACAGTATAGAGCGGTATAAATACCAGAAGAGGTGTCCACACAGGCAGATCCAGGCATAGTTGTGTTATTATCAGGATTACAGTGATTATAAGTGTTTGATAAAACAGTCTTAGAGCGGTATAAATACCAGAAGAGGTGTCCACACAGGCTGATCAGTCATTAGTGTAGTTATATCAGTATCATTACAGTGATTATAAGGTGTTTAAAACAGTATTAGAGCGGTATAAATACCAGAAGAGGTGTCCACACAGGCTGATCAGTCATAGTGTGTTATTATCAGTATTACAGTGATATAAGTGTTTAAATCAGTATTAGATGAGTATTAGAGTGGTGTAAATACCAGAAGAGGTGTCCACACAGGCTGATCAGTCATGTGTTTATCATCAGTATTACAGTGATATAAGTGTTTAAATCAGTATTAGATGAGTATTAGAGCGGTATAAATACCAGAAGAGGTGTCCACACAGGCTGATCAGTCATTAGTGTGTTTATTATCAGTATTACAGTGATTATAAGTGTTTAAATCAGTATTAGAGCGGTGTAAATACCAGAAGAGGTGTCCACACAGGCTGATCAGTCATTAGTGTGTTTATTAACCGTATTACAGTGATTATAAGTGTTTAAATCAGTATTAGATGAGTATTAGAGCGGTGTAAATACCAGAAGAGGTGTCCACACAGGCTGATCAGTCATTAGTGTGTTTATTAACCGTATTACAGTGATTATAAGTGGTTTAAATCAGTATTAGATCAGTATTAGATCAGTATTAGAGCAGTGTAAATACCAGAAGAGGTGTCCACACAGGCTGATCAGTCCATTAGTGTGTTTATTAACCATATTACAGTGATTATAAGTGTTTAAATCAGTATTAGAGCGGGTGTAAATACCAGAAGAGGTGTCCACAGGCTGATCAGTCATTAGTGTGTGTTATTAACCATATTACAGTGATTATAAGTGTTTAGATCATATTAGAGCGGTGTAAATACCAGAAGAGGTGTCCACACAGGCTGATGACCGCGTCCCTCGCCGTGTCCAGGCAGATGTTGCACTCGAAAGCCGCCCGCTCTCTCTCTCTCTCCCCGTCCCGCTCTCCGTCTCTCTCCCCGTCCCTCTCCCGCTCCCTCTCCCCGCTGTGGTGTCCCTCTCCCCCGCTCCGGGGCTCCGCCGCCGCCGCCATCTCTCCTCCTCCTCCTCTCTGGACTCCTTCAGCGCTGAGAACGGAAAAGGTAACTGCGCTCCTTCTGTTTCCGGAACAAAGCTACACCTCGGCTTCCTGGTCTGACCACATAAAAGTCCCCCGTTTCCGCCCAAACTGAGCGAGTCAGTGTTTTAGTCTGAGTCAGAAACGTACAGTCAGCTATAAGACCACAAAGGAAGGAAAGAAGAAGAGAAAGACTGATCAAACGAACATGATACATAAAACAGAGTCTTTAATACAGGAGAAAAGAGAAAATCTGTTGTCATGGTGATCCATAGGTCAGTAGGTTATACGGCCTAATACGGTCTAATAACTGAAGATATGTTTACTCTTCGTTAATAACTACAGCAGTGAGGGCATTTCCTGAAGAAGATGCAATCACAGCCTCAGCTTGCTAGAGTGTTTTAGGCGGTTGCTATGCTATACCAAGTGGTTGCTAGGGTGTTGCTAGGTGGTTGGGATGGTATACCAGGTGGTTGCTAGGGTGTTACTGGGCGGTTGCTATGGTATACCAAGTGGTTGCTAGAGTGTTGCTAGGTGGTTACTATGGTGTACCAGGTGGCTGCTAGGGTGTTGCTAGGCGGTTGCTACGGTATACCAAGTGGTTGCTGGAGTGTTGCTAGGTGGTTGCTATGGTATACCAGTGGTGCTAGAATGTTGCTAGGTGGTGCTATGTTATACCAAGTGGTTGCTGGAGTGTTGCTAGGTGGTTGCTACGGTACCCCCGGTGGTTGCTAGCATGCTGCTAGGTGGTTGGTATGGTATTCCTGGTTGTTGTTAGGGTGTTGCAAGACGGTTTATATGGTATCCCCAAGTAGTGATAGGGTGCTGCTAGGTGGTGCTATGGTATCCCATATAGTTGCTGGGTGTACTAGGTGGTTGATATGGTATCCTAAGTGGTTGCTAGGGTGTGCTAGGCAGTTACTATGGTGCTCCAGGTGGTGCTATGGTATTCCAGGTGGTTGCTAGGTGGTGCTAGGGTGTTGCTAGGTGGTACACATTTCACTGAAAGTGCACTTTGCACAGAAGTAATAGTAAAAAAGTCACTTTATTGCTTTTTAAAAAGGTAATGGGGCATAAATTGAACTCCATTCATGGAAAGTACCAGTTATAGTGTAGTAAGTAGGAGATATCCAGCGTTTATATGAAGGGAAATAAACGAATATCAGTTATTGTTCAGCTGTAGTTGTGACTGCTGGACTGCACTCAGCGTGAGGAGCGTCCTCACTGTCGTTTGGTCAGTGAAGCTGAGACTAAATGGAAAGAGACAAACACAGAGATATCAGGCTGGCTGACCAGTTTATGAAAATATTTTGGTAAAAAATTACATTATTTACCAAAACTACATCTCTACATTCAGTTTCCCTGATACCAAATTTGATTTCACAAGTAAGAGCCTGTTCACCTCCGTCAAAGGGCTCATATCAAGGAGAACCCAAATGTTCACACTTTCTGTTAAATTAAATAAGTTAACACATCCTCTACAGGGAGCATTTCAGCACGCTTTCTGTCTGTGCGCTGAATTTAACATTTTGGGGGGAAAAAATAAACACAGGCCACATTTTACATTTTATAATTTTTCCCCAAAATGTAAATTTCAGTAAATAAACACTAACAGTGTATTAAAATGTGCAGAAGTGTGTTCTCTTAGCCGGGGGTGCCAAAACTTTTCACCCCAAATTCACCCTGTTCGGTTCTGATTCTGGGCTCTATTAACTGACCGGCCCAGTTTCACAGATCCTCCCCGTTTCTCTGAACTGAACCGAAGGCTGAAGTAAGTAAGATAACTGAATGTACATAAACATATTTCAGGCTATATGTTTATATTTGTGCTGAAGATTTTATGACCCTCTGCTTCCCATCACCACTACTGTAAAGAAATCACACTGACCTGCTCTGATTACATCTAAACCACTGAATTACACAGAAACTGTTCAACTTTAAAATAAATAAGATTATATCGGATTTAAAAATTATGAAGGCATTCACATTTAAAAAATAAACCAAGGAGGAAAAAACATTTTTTAGATTAATATTTCTGAACTTTACACTTGCATGCTATGTAAAAAATATTTAGTTTTTATATTATATAGAAAATAACTGTGAAATGTATGTGATTTACAGATTTATAGAATTCTAACTGCTTTGCTGATAATTTTAATGCTGAACAGAATTCAAGAGTAGATTTAGTTCTGTTCAATGAACGGCAACGTATGATGGAGCAGAAGACTTCCAAAACAGTTCGACTCCACCTGCTGGACAATAAACACCACTACACCAGCTCTACTGCTCCATCTGCTGGACAATAAACACCACTACACCAGCCCTACTGCTCCACCTGCTGGACAATAAACACCACTACACCAGCTCTACTGCTCCATCTGCTGGACAATAAACACCACTACACCAGCTCTACTGCTCCATCTGCTGGACAATAAACACCACTACACCAGCTCTACTGCTCCATCTGCTGGACAATAAACACCACTACACCAGTTCTACTGCTCCATCTGCTGGACAATAAACACCACTACACCAGCTCTACTGCTCCATCTGCTGGACAATCAACACCACTACACCAGCTCTACTGCTCCATCTGCTGGACAATAAACACCACTACACCAGCTCTACTTCTCCATCTGCTGAACAATAAACACCACTACACCAGCTCTACTGCTCCACCTGCTGGACATTCAACATCATTACACCAGCTCTAATGCTCCATCTGCTGGACAATAAACATCACCACACCAGCTAAAATTGACTCAATTGACTGACACTGAAAATAACAGTTTCTGGACCCGAATCTGTAGGACAGCGTAAAGTGGATCTTTTTGAAATGACCAACACAACAACTGTGTTTTTAATACTACATTTTAATAACAATATATCTGTTATTGGCACAGGAACAAAATATATAATGCAGTTTCAGATAAATTGATGTAGACTAATTTGTAATGCTTTCTTTTACAGTTCTAGATATTTTGGCATCCACCATATGCAGCACGTTTCAAGAGGAGCTTAGGGGGCATGGCATGCAAACGTAAGGCAAATTAAAGTGGCCTCGCCATGGGACCGGAGGCAGCACCCAGGAGGCAGGGCTTGGGACTCATGCACCGCCCCCCGCTTACTTGCGGTTCTGCCCTCGCGGGGTATCATCCTCACTCGGAGTTCGGGCCCTGCTTTCCTGCCGGCTGTCATCGGGGCCCAGGGGACGGGTGCATGCCACGCACTGTATATCCAGTAAGTTTGATTTAGTCTCCATGGGTTTTACAGTGTGATGTTAGTGCCAAGTTAACAGTACACAATCTCACATTGAGTTTAATACTATACAGCTCTAGCTTAAATACTGATTTTAGAGCTTAAAAGACAATCATGTAACATATTTTTACTTCATATAATGTCGTGTTTAAATGAATTCCTTAGTAAATACTTCAACTAAAACTAAAGAAGCAACATTCAGACACCAAATGTGCCTTGACTGATCAACTACATCTGGAGTAACAGGGTAAATCAGATGTTTTGCTGAACTATGGCTTTAAGATTGAGGGGATCTTCTTGATGTGAGGTAGTAACGGCCTCCTTTGCTGCAATTGTCTCACTGAGAGTCAGAGCAGTCACTCCTCTCTGACGCTGTAAGAAAACACATTCACACAATGAACTTAGTTCATTCTCAGCAAAAACAAAGTGAGAGCTAAATCATTTACTCTTATTCAGTTATTTAAAAAACAACAGAACGAGCTGACAGTTTATGCTGTCTTCTTAACAGCAAGTGAACAACAGTCAGTGAGGCTGTATTCTTCAAAGTTGCTACAATGCTAACAGACAACATAAATAACTTAGAAATGGCTAAATCTGCCTCAAGAGATCAGGAGATTGCAGAACAGGTTCCCCACCGACCATCTCAACTTTGCTCGATTTGACAGTGTAGCGATATTGTAATAGTAAATCAAAACATTATTAAAAGATTTTCTGTAAAATTAGATACCAAAATACAGTTTAATTATATTTTTCATTTTTTCCATTATTTAAATGTTAAAGAGCTGCTGTGCTGCATTAACATGTATGAACCAGAGGTTCATACAGCAAGTTTATACTTAGCCAATCGCAAAGTTAGTTCACATTAGCCTTGCTAGCTATGTCCTAGCATGCTAGTTTACCCAGCCCAACCAGAAGCAACGTAAAATAAGCTGAGTGAGTTCATAAACGTTTCATTTTGTTGTTGTTCACGTCACAGTACGACAGGTTTAAATGTAGAATCTTTCTCTTTGTGTCGTTTTATCTCTGTAGGTATCCGATTAGCACTGCTACTATAATGCTAACGTCAGTAAGCTGTGTGATTCACTTTCTATGGGATTTGCAGTGTCATGTTAGTACCAAGCTAACAGTGGTGTACAATTACTTTCCCCAATTTACTTTTGGAGACATTTACAATGTTTTACCTTATATACTGCATATATTACATATTCAAACAGAGAATTCCACTGTATGCAGAATGCATGTCTGCACAGTGTTATATTCTCAGGGTAGGCGTGGCCTGTGGTGGTGGTGGGGTGGTGAGGCCCAATGTGACATCTTTTCATGGGGCCCAAAATCCCAGTTGGCGCTCCTGGCTTAAGGTAACCGGCCCAAAACGCTACCGGCCCAATGGGAAATCTCCCTGTTCTCCCGATTACTCAGTCCATAGGTTATAAATGCTCTTTGTTTCTTCTACATTAGATTGAAACAAATACATAGACTTACCAAACGCAGGGAGAGAGGCGGTTCTAGAGCTGAGCTGTCCTGTTAAAGAGAGAGATCAGAACCACATACAGTGGAAGGATTAGTCTGTGGTTACTTTTTAAACTTTTTAAACACAAAGCTTACAGATCAGTAATCAGTTTAGTAACAGATGATCTACGGAAGATCAGACTGTGGATGTGTTTGTTCTGATTGGTGTGGATTCAGTGTTTAGTGGACTTTTCCTTCATAATCAGGTGATGATCTCACCTCCAGCTGTGGTCAGTCCTGCAGTCCGAGTCCGACTGTTCTGACTGTGGTACTGACCACCACCATCATCATCATCATCACCTGAGAGAGAGCAAGAAAAGGGACTGTAAAACTGGTAAACGTTTAACTGACATATATGACAATTTATCATTTTTCAGATATGAATTAATAAATTTATTGTAAATTTCATGCAGTAAAAATACAATAAAAAAATTACCCATAACTGGCGGTAAATCCATTGAAGCAGTGGATCCTTCTGTGAAGAATCAGTAAAAGCTCAGTGAACAGCAGGAATAACCACTGAGTGAAGAATATTAGATTTATGATGTCATAATTCTGTAATTTAGAGACTGAAAATGAAATAATAATAAAATAATCAATAGTACTCAAAGTTGGAGGTGTTCGGTCCATTGAAGATCTAAACCGATGTAGATGTTCCAGTGAACGAGTGAATCTTTCTGAAATGAAGCAGTAAGAATTCAGTGAGTTTCAGGGAATTCAGATTTATGAGTCTAGAAACAGTTTAATTTGCTATTTTTGATATTTGAACGTGGCTTAAAGTAGATTTGTAAACAATATTGAATGACATAATTTCTTGTACAGACAAAACAAAAGTTTGGGCACCCCTGGCAAATATCATCGCTGTACAAAGAAAACATTTACCTCCATTTTTTGCGATTTTCACTTTTCTGCATCATTTGAGCACAACAGCCATTCTTTACACTGTCTGACAATTTCATGATGACTGGACCAATAAAAATGCAGCAAAATTACTCTCTTTCCATTGACTTGCATTAAAAGTAAAGGCCGTTTTTGTCCTCTCCTGTAAAGTTGCTATTTTGGAAGTACATGTTTTTACTGCAGAGCGACGATTTACAGGTTCATGCTGATTTTCTGAGGGTAAATAAGTTTCACATCCTCTACAGAGACACACTACAAAACATTTAATACCCAATCACTGATCATTCACTGAATTTAACATAGTGGAAATCAAATTAATCAAAAATATGGTCTGTGCAAGTTGTGGCACATTTATTATTTTATATCCAACATATTAAACTCAGCAAACAAATAGAAACTGTGTGTTAAAATTAGCAGAAAAATGCCACATGTAAGTGTGTCTCTGTAGAGGATGTGTTACTTACTCTCACTGAGAAAATGAACACAGCATTTAACCGGGGTGCTCAAACTTTTACACATGACTGTGGATCAATCATGTCTTTAACAGATCAGTTTTCTAACAGGTGATTTGTAGAAGATCAGATTGTGAATGTGTTTGCACTCTTCCTACATGAACAGGTGATGATCTCACCTCCAGCTGCAGTCTGAGTCCATCTGTCCAGGTTCTTACCATCATCATCCTCATCCTCAGCTGAGAGAGAATGAAGAAACAGTCTGATTTAACTGGCAGATTATATTATATATTATATATAACTTGATTACAGATATAACAATTAAACCATTTTTTGTAAATTGATTGTGTCAATATAATGTATGATTACATATATGATTGTGTGTCAATATAATATATCATTTCTTGTAATAAACTGATGCCATTATTTTATTCAGATATTGAAAATGAACTAGAATTAAATAAAAACTTCATCCAAAACTGGAGGAATGATCATTAAACCACAGATTAGTTCTAGAATGAAAAAGTAAGAATGTAGTGAACAGCAGGATTAACAGTACAAACATTAGACTTTTATGATCGGACGTGACCATATGTTATTTTTGATATTTGAATGTGGCTCAAATTTGATTTTAACAGCTTAATTTTTGTACAGCGAAAGCGGCAGATTCTTCCTGCCAAAAACAATCTTTGAAGGTTTGTGTTGTTCAGTGAACAGAATAATAAACCACAGCAGAGCTGGACTCACTGTCAGGTTCTTCTGCATCTCCTCCATCCTGATCTTCATTTACTAACACTGAACACAGAAGTAAATGAACAAGAATACTGATTTTGTGTAATATATATTTTCATGAGATTAATTAACATTATTAATTCAAGCTAAAATTAAGTCTTAGTTTTTAAAAAGTCTCAGTTTTTAGGTCTAGTTTAGTCAAGCATTTGATAATTTTTTTCCCATAGTACTGTATTTTGAAAAATAAAAAATAAAAATATTAAAATTAAAAATATTAATAATAAACATAATAATACTCATTTAGAACAGCCTTTTTTCCCCCTTTCCCAGCTTTGCTGCCGTTGCTGCCGGCAAGTTCTAAATTAGTTACTCTTTTTCATGAAATGGTAAACTGTCTCACTTTTAACATTTGATATGTGTTCTGTGTTCTATTGTGAATCAAATATGGGTCTATGAGATTCACAAATCATTGCATTCTGTCTTTATTTACATTTTACACAGCATCCAAACCTTTTTTAGAATTGATATTGTAGATTTTAAAGATCTTGTTTTATGTATTTTTTTTATGTAAGATTCTTGATGTGAAAAAAGTCTTGACTTCCTGTCTAAACATGATCTTTACCTTCCACAGTGATTGCTATGGTGGGTATGTGTGTGATGCAAAGTGGACAGAAGAATAAGATGTGGCAGAGCTGAACGGCGCGAGTGAGTCAGGTGAAAAATGAATAAATAAACAAATAAACTGACAAACAGACAAATAATAAAGTCAGTCTGACTTTTGGCTTACCTTTCAATTCCTCTCTGGAAGCTTCTTTACCTGGAGGTTTTGCAGCTTTTTCTTTTCTTATCCACTTCTTAAAAGTTAAAAGAACCCAAGTAATCACTCCAGAGTATTTTGTGGTAGTAACAGTCCTTCTTCTGTACAGTGCAAAAATGATCACCATAATAATAATAATAATAATTATTATTATTATTATTATTATGGTCAGGCTTAACATTTCAGTTGAGGGAACCGGGGGTACAGGCAGTATATCTAAAGAATAATATATATCATAATCGTCACTATACTCGTACAGGGTGCTGTTCTTTTCTGTCGCACTGTCCTTAATTTCATCATCATAATCACCCAGGTTGGGGAGACCTGACATCTCATTACTGTCACTATCATTATCATTCAGGTAACTGAGGAGTCTATCCATACACTTTTGCTGCAGGTAGTCCTTGGTGACTTGGTTACGATGGGGTTCATTATTCCACATTACTTTAACTGGAAGGAACTCATTGTCCAGGACCATCCACTGATAGTTGTGAACATCAAAATAGAGGACGGCCTTTCCATTGAGTCTGTATTCATCTGTAGTGTTCAGTAAGGTCACATCTCCACTAGAGGACCTCTCAATCTCACAGCCACGTGTCTTTATAAAGTGGTGATCATCTGAAATCCACACAAGAATAATTCATTTACAGCTTTTTACACACAGCTCATCATATATACTTGTAATAACATGCATATTTAAGGTGTAGTCTTACACCGACCTTTAGAATTGAGTTCCAGAAGGTGGATAAAACCTTCAAATTCATTCAAAAACGTCTGATGCTCTTTCCTTATTGTTGCTCTATTCCTCCAGGACTCTTCCGTCTGTTCCAAGACCCTGTCATTGCTATCACTGAAGTAGTCTACCTGTTCACCATCAAATAGGACTGCAGCAGTGAACTTGGTGATGTTATTGGTGTTTTGTGACGAACTGTAGTGAACAGTGTAGATGTGGTACAGGGAGTGTCTCTCTGTGGGACAGACGAGAAGTACAGAAGAGTAAACTAATCACCTCGTGGTCAGTACACTTAATTAAAATTGTCCGAGCTATAATTTAGATACAATATAGATGTGCAACATGGATACACAACAGATTTTCCTTTTTCCATCTAAAGAGCCCATATCATGGAAAACCAAATCATGGATTTTACCTTGTGTTTTTTCTTTTAACAAAAAGTTTGGTCAAAACAGTCCGGCCATTAAGTACAAGTTATTTATTTTTCAGTAAATATTTCTGAGGAGATTAAATATAAGACATCCATTTGTATTAAAAAGGGGACAGTAAAAGAAAGATGATTAAAACATACGGAGAAACCACCAAAACTGTCCCCATCAGATAAACAGTCCTTAACAGAAATGCAAACAACTTCGTAGACTAAACTTTGGTAGAGATAACTTTGTATTCTTGGCCTGTCATCACTCGGATTCTCTGCCTATGATCACTTCAGAGTCTCTGCCTATGATTACGTCCAACTCTTGGCCTACAGTCACTTCGGATTCTTGACCTGTCATCACTTTGGACTCTTAGCCTGCCATGTCTTGTGACTCATGACTGGCAATCCCATCAGACTCAAGGCCTGCAATCACTTCTGACTCTTGGTCCTCAGTCACTTCAGGTTCTCGTTCCATGATCATTTCGGACTCTAGGCCTGTGATCACTTTGAATTCTTGACCCATGATCACTTCAGACTCTTGATCCACGATCATTTCAGAATCTCAGCCTCCAGTCACTTCAGACTAGATATCCTATCAGTTTGGACTCTTGGCCCACAATCACCTCAGATTCATGGCCTACGATCACTTTGGACTCCTGGCCTGTGATCACTTTGCATTCTCTGCTCACAATCAATGTGGACTCCACGATCACTTTCCATTCTCAGCCCGTTATCACTTTAGATTCTCCACCTGTGATCACTTCAGATTCTCAGCCCGTGATCACTTTGGACTCTCAGTCAGCGATCATTCAGCTTCTCTGCCTGTTATCGCTTCAGACTTTTTGCCTATGATCACTTCAGACACTCAGCTTGGGAACACTTTGTATTGTCAACCTGCAGTCACTTTGGACTTCTGGACCTGGGTTACTACAGACTCTCGGCCTGTTATCATTAAAACTCTCGGCCTGTTATCATTAAAACTCTCGGCCTGTGATCATTAAAACTCTCGGCCTGTTATCATTAAAACTCTCGGCCTGTTATCATTAAAACTCTCGGCCTGTTATCATTCAAATTCTCGGCTTGTTATCATTGAAACTCTCGGCCTGTGATCATTAAAATTCTCGGCCTGTTATCATTGAAACTCTCGGCCTGTGATCATTAAAACTCTCGGCCTGTGATCATTAAAACTCTCGGCCTGTTATCATTGAAACTCTCGGCCTGTGATCATTAAAACTCTCGGCCTGTTATCATTAAAACTCTCGGCCTGTGATCATTAAAACTCTCGGCCTGTTATCATTGAAACTCTCGGCCTGTTATCATTGAAACTCTCGGCCTGTGATCATTAAAATTCTCGGCCTGTTATCATTAAAACTCTCGGCCTGTGATCATTAAAACTCTCGGCCTGTTATCATTAAAACTCTCGGCCTGTGATCATTAAAACTCTCGGCCTGTTATCATTGAAACTCTCGGCCTGTGATCATTAAAACTCTCGGCCTGTTATCATTGAAACTCTTGGCCTGTTATCATTGAAACTCTCGGCCTGTGATCATTAAAATTCTCGGCCTGTTATCATTGAAACTCTCGGCCTGTGATCATTAAAACTCTCGGCCTGTTATCATTAAAACTTTTGGCCTGTGATCATTAAAACTCTCGGCCTGTTATCATTAAAACTCTCGGCCTGTGATCATTAAAACTCTCGGCCTGTTATCATTAAAACTTTTGGCCTGTGATCATTAAAACTCTCGGCCTGTTATCATTAAAACTTTTGGCCTGTGATCATTAAAACTCTCGGCCTGTTATCATTAAAACTCTCGGCCTGTGATCATTAAAACTCTCGGCCTGTTATCATTAAAACTCTCGGCCTGTGATCATTAAAACTCTCGGTTTCTCGGCCTGTGATCATTAAAACTCTCGGCCTGTTATCATTAAAACTCTCGGCCTGTGATCATTAAAACTCTCGGCCTGTTATCATTAAAACTCTCGGCCTGTTATCATTGAAACTCTCGGCCTGTGATCATTAAAACTCTCGGCCTGTTATCATTAAAACTCTCGGTTTCTCGGCCTGTTATCATTAAAACTCTCGGCCTGTGATCATTAAAACTCTCGGCCTGTTATCATTAAAACTCTCGGCCTGTGATCATTAAAACTCTCGGCCTGTTATCATTGAAACTCTCGGCCTGTTATCATTGAAACTCTCGGCCTGTGATCATTAAAATTCTCGGCCTGTTATCATTAAAACTCTCGGCCTGTGATCATTAAAACTCTCGGCCTGTTATCATTAAAACTCTCGGCCTGTGATCATTAAAACTCTCGGCCTGTTATCATTGAAACTCTTGGCCTGTTATCATTGAAACTCTCTGCCTGTGATCATTAAAATTCTCGGCCTGTTATCATTGAAACTCTCGGCCTGTGATCATTAAAACTCTCGGCCTGTGATCATTAAAACTCTCGGCCTGTTATCATTAAAACTCTCGGCCTGTGATCATTAAAACTCTCGGCCTGTTATCATTAAAACTTTTGGCCTGTGATCATTAAAACTCTCGGCCTGTTATCATTAAAACTTTTGGCCTGTGATCATTAAAACTCTCGCCCTGTGATCATTAAAACTCTCGGCCTGTGATCATTAAAACTCTCGGCCTGTTATCATTAAAACTCTCGGCCTGTGATCATTGAAACTCTCGGCCTGTGATCATTAAAACTCTCGGCCTGTTATCATTAAAACTCTCGGTTTCTCGGCCTGTTATCATTAAAACTCTCGGCCTGTGATCATTAAAACTCTCGGCCTGTTATCATTAAAACTCTCGGCCTGTGATCATTAAAACTCTCGGCCTGTTATCATTGAAACTCTCGGCCTGTTATCATTGAAACTCTCGGCCTGTGATCATTAAAATTCTCGGCCTGTTATCATTAAAACTCTCGGCCTGTGATCATTAAAACTCTCGGCCTGTTATCATTAAAACTCTCGGCCTGTGATCATTAAAACTCTCGGCCTGTTATCATTGAAACTCTTGGCCTGTTATCATTGAAACTCTCTGCCTGTGATCATTAAAATTCTCGGCCTGTTATCATTGAAACTCTCGGCCTGTGATCATTAAAACTCTCGGCCTGTGATCATTAAAACTCTCGGCCTGTTATCATTAAAACTCTCGGCCTGTGATCATTAAAACTCTCGGCCTGTTATCATTAAAACTTTTGGCCTGTGATCATTAAAACTCTCGGCCTGTTATCATTAAAACTTTTGGCCTGTGATCATTAAAACTCTCGCCCTGTGATCATTAAAACTCTCGGCCTGTGATCATTAAAACTCTCGGCCTGTTATCATTAAAACTCTCGGCCTGTGATCATTAAAACTCTCGGCCTGTTATCATTAAAACTCTCGGCCTGTTATCATTGAAACTCTTGGCCTGTTATCATTGAAACTCTCGGCCTGTGATCATTAAAACTCTCGGCCTGTTATCATTAAAACTCTCGGCCTGTGATCATTAAAACTCTCGGCCTGTTATCATTAAAACTCTCGGCCTGTTATCATTAAAACTCTCGGCCTGTGATCATTGAAACTCTCGGCCTGTTATCATTAAAATTCTCGGCCTGTTATCATTGAAACTCTCGGCCTGTGATCATTAAAACTCTCGGCCTGTTATCATTAAAACTTTTGGCCTGTGATCATTAAAACTCTCGGCCTGTTATCATTAAAACTCTCGGCCTGTGATCATTAAAACTCTCGGCCTGTGATCATTAAAACTCTCGGCCTGTTATCATTAAAACTCTCGGCCTGTGATCATTAAAACTCTCGGCCTGTGATCATTAAAACTCTCGGCCTGTGATTACTTTGGAGTCCTAGTCAGTCATTACTTTGAGTTCTTGGCCTCTTATCACCTACTCTCTCTGTCTGTGATCACTTCAGATGCACATGATCACTCCGTATAGTCGACATGCGATCACTTTGGACTCTCAGCCTGCATTTACTTCAGACTCTTGACCTGTGATCACTTTGGACTTTTGGTCCACAATCACATCGCTTGAAACTCTTAACTCGTGATCATTTGGAATTATGGCCTGTGGTAACTTCCAGTTCTTGAACCACAATCGGTTCCCGTTCTCAGTCCATTATCACTTCAGATTCTCGACTTGTGATCACCACAGACTCTCAGCCTATAGTTGTCTACAGTGCCAAGATAATGTCTTTTTTAATTTTATTCAATGGGCTTTAATTTTTTATACTTTGTTTTATTTTCATTGTTTATTCATTTTATTTTTTTCTGATTTATTTGACACCACTGTTAGATATCAACAACAACAGCAATAATAATAGTGGGTTTTTCAATTAAATGAGAGGAGATTATTTGATATTGTCTGATCGTACCTGTTAATAATGTATTCATTACAGCCACACCCTTTTACAACTGTGCTGCTCTGCTCTTAACATATGCAGATGGTCACAAAGTACTAAAAACACCAAAATTATATCTGCCACGCCCGTGCACAGCAGCACTCTTACACCTTATTTTTCCACTTGCACTATGATTACAAATATAGGACCAAAAGAAAAGCTAGAAATGATCATGTAAACACGATTTTGACTGTTTATAAAAACCCCACAAATGTTATAGGTGAATTTAAATAGATCAATAGAGCAATTAAAATGCAAGAAATATACAAACTATAGAGCCTTTAGACTAAACTAAATGCTACCTTGTTACCTTGTAGTACATCTCCCAGACTTTTTTAAATAATGCAAAAACAGTTGATGTTATTTTCCCATTTATGCGTCCATTAAATCCCATAACAGCACATCATCCTGCTAACAGTTCAATTTTTTTCTACTGAAAGTACATTTATTGGAAAGAAGCAGCTTTTCCAGCTTACCTTTATGTACATCTGAGACATTGTGAGCCACCAGGAGCCAAAACAGTATAGAAATTGGAATTATAACAGCAGTTAAACACAAAATGTTTCAGACCTTCATCTTTCACTGCTCCACCATGCAG